TATAGCTATTTTGGAAAATGTTTGACAAAGACCGACAAACATCATCTCGGAACATAGTCAAACCTCATACCAGGAACGCTTGTACTGTACTAACAACGTACAGGCCTATTTGATACCTTTAAAATACCAAACAAATTGGAAGTTATTAATCAACATTAATCACTCATCCATTCAGAATATCATTAACATTACAGTGTACTCATTCACTGATGTCAAACCAATAAGCTCTATTTCTTCAAGCACTGAAATCATCCTCAACCCAATATTATTTGCAACCTAACCTCAAAAAATAACTAAATATTTTAAGAGTTGTCCGAAATGCTGTGTAACTTGTGGATAATAATCAATTATTTATTCATTAATAATTATTATTAATCAATTGATTAATTAATCAAAATAATATAAATCCAAACTAAGCCGCCATGACTGAGATAAGGGATACAACTCGTAAGTGGACATAGGTGATTTGAGAATCAGGTTCTAAGTTTTACTGGATAAGTTATATTGGGTTTGTTTAAGATGGAGAACAACAAACTATAACATTTTATCAGGAAATCAACCAGGAAATAACCAATCACAGGTCAAGAGAATTACTGAGATTCTGTGACAAACTTTTCTTCAAATAGTAGATAACAGCAAACTAAGAACGAAAATAATCTCTACCTGATCTTCACAATGAAGAAATAATATGGGGTTCAGGTATTACAATCTCAGATACTACATATTCAGAGAAAAGCTCCTTGAAGGTCAAATTAACATCAAAATCATTAATAGGCCCAATAGAGTTAACAAGTGAAAAGGGTTATTTAATCAATTCACTTTTAACAATAAGAGGATTGACTGGAAAAACATAAATACTGTATAGAACTTGTAAATATCCAACGGGAAACAACCTCAATTATCAAAACTCCCATGTAAGGAATAAAACAATTTACTGTTGAAACGCACAAAGTCTGCTTGAAGTATTTGCCTTTTGGGAGGGTTAGAAAGCAAACCACTCATGAGAGAGAATGCAGACTTTACAAAAGAAGGAAAAATAATGGAAATGCTTAAGCAGACACAAATATCACAACAAAGAAAAGGAAATTCAAACAGGGAGACCGAAGAAATATAGCAAACAGTGAAGCGATCATACTTGTCTAAAGAAATTAAATTGTGACAGAAAGCTATACAAGAGATAAAGAAAAAATTCAAAATATTTGTTCACATATACAAAATTAAAAACTTCCTCCAGTATTGAACCTAAACTTAAAATTGAATGTTCATATGCAGAGGATGACAAAGAAATCAGTGAAATTCTAAAAGACCGGGATGAGGCTATGTTTAACACACCAATAAACAACATGAAAGTTGACGCTTCTGTATAAATTATATCTAAACACGTGACAATATTAACACGAGCACAGCAGACTTTAAGAGAAATTGACAACATGCCCATGTACTCACCCCTGGGGTCCAGGCTCCTGGAATTTGATATCCATAAAGAAATGTAAAGTGTCTGTAGCACAAATATTCAGTATAACATGGAGAAAAAGTTTAGATACAGGTGAGATAACAGAACTCATATCAGCAGCTATAGCTCTACTGCACAAGAAAAGTAGTAAGGCTTTGCCCAAAAACTATAAACCAGTTGCACAAACATTACATACAGAAGTTTTTGAGAGTGATTAGGACTCAAATCTCTGAACAATGAACAATGAACTTTACAACCCAGGTCAACATGGGTTTGAAGCAGGAAGATCCTGTCTTTCGTAATTATTCAACAACTATGACAAACAGTGGCAGCTCATGGAAAAAAATAGAATGGAGGGACTGCATCACTGCAAGCTTCACACAACAGTATAATAATAATCATAATTAAAATAAATAATAAATAAATAATTAAACAAAATACAATAAACACAACTTATACAACTAGGCTGCAGTGTACACAGATCAACGTTGCCAGATGAAGTGCCGATTAATGCTGCAATCTCGTACAGCATGAAACCTCTTATTTTTGTCTCGTTTTAATTAAAAATGTCAAAATTAAGTTGCATATATATATTGAAAGTAACATATAAAGACTTTTTGTTATGACACATTTGTTGCATGTTACAAAAGTTGTAAGTTACAACTATTTCAACTTACAACTACAGTACAATATTGTGCAAATTACACAAGTTGCATGTAGTTGCACATTACAAGCAAGTTACACAGCATTTCAAGCAACACTTAAAATATTTATTCTAGTATGAGGTTGATGGGGGTCATACACCTGGCAGCGAGTTTCTGGGGAAACTGCAGCTCAGCAGCTCCTATGGGCAAGCCGCCACTAATGACAAAACCATGGAAGCATTAGAAGAAAAACAAAATACAGATGTTGTATACACAAACTTTGCAAAGGCATTTGACAAGTGTGACCAAGGAGTGATAGTCCATAAAATGATACCAGCAGGAATAATGGGTAAAGTAGGGTACAGTATTGGGTTTTCATTTTTTTGTTAAACAGAATGCAAAGCATAACAGTCAGTCACATAAAATAAAATCCAAACACCGTGAAAAGCCTCTGTACCTCAGGGCACAGTCCTAGCACCACTGCTTTTTCTCATTCTCATATCAGATATAGACAAGAATACAAGTTACAGCTTTGTATCATCTTTTCCTTTGCAGATGATAAAAATTCAGCATGAATATTACTTCTGTGTTCTATAGAAGAAAACACTAAAAAACTACAAGTCGACATTAATAAAAGTCTTCAACTGGTCAATGGAAAATAACAATCTTTAACAATGTAAAGTTCATTGGTATGGTAGAATTGAATTACTTAAATGAAACACAAGGTACAAGACACAATCAAACCTACTCATAAAAGAAAAACAAATAAAGCATCTGGGAATTATGATGTCTGATGGCATGACGTTTAGTGAACATAACCAAGCAAATATAGCATCAGCCAGGAAAATGATTGGATGATTATGAGAATGTAACATGCATTTGATTTCATGTCTTTGTACCTTTCCCAGTTTATTGATGTGGTACTTGAGATATGGGCACCATACTATATTCCAATTTTGGTTCCACAAAGGAACAATTTCTTTAATATTTCACCATGTACTTAAAAACAATTCTGAAGTTGGAAAGGATTACATACATTCCTTTCACATTGTTCTTTATGTGGTCTTCAGGTGATAATTCTCTATTCAGAACCAACCTGAGATTTTTGTTTTTAAAATTCTTTAAAGCATTTTCACATAATTTGTAGATTGTGTGGTGTATATTCTCCTTTTCCACATTCCATAAAGTAACATTTATTCACATTAAATTATATTTGCCAAGTGTTGGTCCATACATGTATTTTGTCCAGGTCTTCTTGAGAGGCATGGTAATTATCTAAGGCTTTTATGTTCCCTACTAACTTCGCATAATCAACAAACGAACGTGCATATGTGTTCATAATTACCTTAAGTGTAATTACAGGATAAGAGCTACGCTCGTAGTGTTCCTTCTACCCCAGTACTCTGTTGAATAACGCTTTTTAACTACAGACGGTTTTGGCATCCACCACCTTCTCACTTAGCTTGTTCTAACCATCTACCACTCTGTTTGCAAAATAAATCTTTCTAATGTTTTTTCAACACCTTTGTTTCCTTAGCTTGAATCTGTGTCCACTTGTTCGTTATGTGTGTGTGAAAGTCATCATCTAGTTGATTCCATATCATTCAGATTTTTAAAAGTAAAGGGTTCCTCCCAACATCTCTATGCCTCAATGGGTCTATAGTTTCAATTTATGTACAGTACTCTTGTTCTACTGTTCCTCACTTTGAACATGGCCTCTCTTATCTCATTGGGCAAACTAGTTTCATCTTTATCACACATTTTTATTCAGACAAACCCAAGAGAGATAACAGGCATATTCGGATAAATGGAGTTCGAAAACTATTTGGTCGACTGTGTGTGTGTATATTGTACACCTAGTCGTGCTTGAGGGGGTTTAGCATTGGCTCTTTGGTCCTATCTCTCAACTGGTGTACAGATTCGAGTTCATTGGGCTCAATCATATCTACATTTGAAACTATGTATGTAGTCTGCCTCCACCACATCACTTCCTAATGCATTCCACTTGTTAACTACCCTGACACTGAAAAAATCTTTTTAATGTCTATGTGGCTCATTTGGGTACTCTGTTTCCACCTGTCACTCCTTGTTCATGTTCTGCCCAAGCTAAATGGTTTGTCTTTGTCTACCCTGTCAATTTCTGAGAATTTTGTAGGTGGTGATCATATCTCCTTTTACTCTTCTGCCTTTCAGAGACATGAAGTTTAGCTCCAATAGTCTTTCCTCGTAACTCATACCTCTCAGTTCCAGTACCCGTCTGGTGACATACCTCCGAACCTTCGAAGACAAACACACACACACAGTGGAACCTCGATTTTCGAATGCCCCCTTTTTAATTTTTCGGTTCCCGAGCTCAATTTCTTACAGCAGGCATTTCCTCTCTGAGTTACAACACTGATGTGCTGGGACAGAAAACTGGATGCTTTTGGGTTTCTGGGTTGCCTAATGAGTTCCTCTTCCACCTCTGTTAGAAACTTAAGTGCACATTTACCCCAAGTGCCTAGGTCTTGAAGCCTATTGGTACAAACTTTTAACAATGTTCTGGGCCCATGTACTTATTAGTTTTCTGGATCTCTCTGAAGCTGACAGCCCCAACACCATTATAAATATTTATTTACTGCATATATTTTATATAATGTATATTATATTATATATACTGGTATAATAGTACAGTACAGTATTTATAAATTATTATTTTCTGTACAATAATTTAATTAGATGGTTTACCTTATTTCGTCATCATATTTTGCCACGTATTTGATTTGATGTAAAAATCCATTCTAAAGATAAAAGTTTGATAAGGTTTGAGCCCACTGCATTGGTTTGCAACAGGTGAAAGATCAATACTTAATAGTTTATTTCTAGAGAGAAGGTAGAGAAAATAAGGAAGTACAAAATAATGCTTCACTTCTACAACTTTTATTAACACCACCGTTAAAGAGCTACCAGTGACTTGGTACTCAAACATCAATACACAGTATTGACAGTTATCTTTCAGAAGTCATGACAAGATATACAAGAGTGGAATGGTGCCGATGAAGAGTGTAATTAAAAGCGGCCTGTCAGGTTTGTCCAAATACAGTCCAGCCTCATTAATACAGTCCTGTTAAATACCATTAATGTTTCAATAGTTCATGATGGGATTAAGAGCTTTTCCTTGTTTTGCACACTGAATTCACAATAGCTGGCCAGGGCTGCAAGAACACAAGCTCACTGTAACCATTCATTTATTTAACTCTGCAGCATAGCTCTTTCTACACTCTACTACTGTACATGATCGATAATAAATAAATCCATTCACTTAACATCATCTCCTAGAAAACAATAAATTTCTCTGGACAAAGTATGCTATTCCAAAACTAGATGACTGGCTTGGAGATATTATTGTGCGCTGATCCTCGAAAGTGATTAGCTGACTTGGTCAAACCTTATGAGCCGTGACATTACTCTCCGGGGTGCTGCTGAGTTACTGCAAACATGGATGGTTCTGCCTACGTCATCATTCACATTCTCATACTAGTTCTTCTAACGCTGAAAAATCAACACAATCACAGAATTTTTTGAGAAACATAATAAAGTTTGTAATAATTTCATTAATTATTACGTGTAAAAAAGATGTCTTCCTGTTTTGTCTACCTAAAAAAATAATTAATAAGGTTTTTACTTAAAAATCTAAACCCGCGACCCGTGTGGAAAAATGTATAACAAGTCACAAAACATAAAAATAACTTACAGATACTTGGTAAATTAAACGCCCCTTATCCTTTCAGTAAGCACAGTGCCAATCCTATTACATGTTAAAATAGCTTGACCACTCGTAGGTTAAAATGTTTACCCTGGTCCAGTGTTTTGTTACGAAACTGGGTGAATAGATGGACCTTGACTGTGATGAAGTGGACCAGAATGAGTTTGACTTGTATATGTTAAGGAGAATGTATTATCAATTATGAGAGCTAAATGGGGATTTAGTTGATAAATGCTAAAGAATTTATAGTATTATGTGGATCAGATCAAGTTTGGTGGGTAATGTAAAGGACATGGAAGAATTGTGTTTAGCTGGTTGATGGGATAAAGGCTGACCTACAATAGGAAGTTTAATTGGTTGTGGGATTATAGGCTCATTTACATAATGTTGTTCAGGAAAGAAATGGGAGGCATGTCAAGAAACAATAGATCGCGGGTGGTCTATGTGCTACTTGTGGTCAAGGTGAGTGTCTGGGATGGTGATTGTGTGTGTCTCGTTACCCAATATTAGGCGAAGTCGTTTCATAGTGGGTCGAGGTGATGCCGTGCTGTCTCCATCAGTACTCTCTCCTTCCGATGAATCAGATCGACGGCGGTGTTCACGATGGTGCTTCTTACGGTGCCGCCGATGATGATGATGATGGTGATTAGTCTGATAGTCTTGGTTTGTAATGCCTTCTACTGTTAACACCTCATATTCAGGTTCATAAGCAATTCCTGAATCCGAGAGATGAGACCCAACTTCTATAACCTCATCTAAAACTGGAGATCTCTTCATTCGCAGCCTTAATTTTACCCCACATCTTCCACTTTTCTCTGGGGTGACCATGGTTGTCGGAGAAGATGGGGTAAAGCCAATCAATGGATGAGGGGGAGATTCACACTGAGGAGATGTCCTACACTCACTAGTTACATTTCTTCCCCAACGACCACACCCACTAGTATGCTTACCAACTCTTAAAGATCCAGGAGAAGTCGAATCCTCATCTTCATCAAATTCATACACGTCTTTTTCTGACGAGAGATTGGCTGCAACCGTTTCTACTCCACTAGTACCAGAATGACTAACCATCATACTGCTTATGTCTTTTAAAGCTGTTTCTTTGCACTTTGAATGCTTGGTCTTTTTACTATGAGGCTCCAAGCTATTCACCTCATTTTTAACACTAGACTGCTGAGGTAACTGAGAAGTTGGCAGTGATTGTTCTGAAATTTTATCAGTGTTATTATTAATAATATTACTAGAACAGTTACTTCCTACACTAATGTAACCTAAACTAGAATTATCACATTTTTCACCAGGGGGTCTGCGTAGCCTACGCAGAGGGGGTCTCCCACTTACAGCCATACACTGTGAGGTGGGGGCAGTCAAACTACGGTTCTGTTGGGAAGTTTCGCTCATAATCTCGGCCTGCATGTGATCTGTTAACTTAACACGACTCAGATCCACAAAGCAGTTTGAGCTGGGTGCTACTTCTCTTGCATTTACTTCTCTCTGAATCAATTCCCTTGAAGCTATTTCTCTGGCAGTTTCCTCTGGCAATGTTGTCCTGACCAGAGCATCATTCCCTGAGACTCTAGCAGACTCATTTCCTCCAGGCATGAGCATGTTACTACCTGCTGCTGATTCTGGCTCACATTCCTCTCTTTCAACTACATCCTCAAAAAAAGTTGTGGGACTTTTAATGTCATGGCTGTCAGAACGGTTGTGATGACCTCTTAAGATACGGGTATACCCCTCCTCCTTCATGGCAGTGTTCGACTGGCGGCGGCTGCGTAACTTGATTCCCTTTGTATTAAGGTGGCTCCCATTTTGAGAAGACTCAATTGTACCGGCATCTCTGGGAATTTTTCCTTCATTCAGAGTATTCTCAATAGTAACTACACAACTTCTCGTTTGTGGGCGTCCTTTATTTACAACATTTTTAAGATATTTATCCGAATCAATGGTTTTCACTGGGTCATCACAATTTTCACTTGTTATATCAATGTTTTCCTGAGCACTATCTGAACTTGTTCTCCTGTTTTTTGCTTTTGGATACAAACCATTCAAATGAGGATGTGCTTGAGAGCCAGAACGTTTAACATGTGCTTGGGTCGAGCCACTATCAGTACTAATGTCAGATTTATCAGAATCTCGAGAGCCTCCTCTAGTCCTTAATTCTCGCCTAACCACTTCACCGTTTACCTTGCCAGTTAAACTGTTAATTTTTAGCTTGTGATCACCACCATCCACCTTTAAGCTAACTGCACCTTCACTCTTTCCTTTACTAATCACTTCCTCCCCATTTTTTTGTTGATTGCGTAGTCTTTGGCGACTTATCCTAAGCCTTAAATCTGTTTCTCTGAGTCGATAACCTTTTTCTAGATCATCATCATTCTTTTTGTCTGCAAATGCTCCTGTGCCTCTCCTGCAAAAGATAGAAAATATTTTATAAGACAAATTCAAAAGGCATAGAAATTTATGCACATAATAGACTAATATCAGATTAAGAAATAAATGTAACCTCTCATTTATTCCAGAGAATGTCACAACAAGATTACAGATCAATGAAGCACACTGCCAATAGGGTCCTACAAAGCCCTAAATAAATACAGCATATTATATAATCTTAAGACACAAAGTTGTTTGTTTATAAGTAAGTAATTATCAAAAGAAGGCACCAAACCGGGAAGGCTATGTAGCACTATCAAATGTGCGGAATAATCAGAGGGCGCTAAATATCGCCAAGGATGCCAATACGAGAACAAAAACGCATAAGGCGAACGATGTCAAAAGTATCCGAGTCACCAAGAATTCTATTGAGGGACAGGTGACCACGAGGGGGCAGTCGGAAAGCAAGACACACGCTCGTCATGGAAGTCAGGACATTCAAGGACATGCACGACCGTAAGAGGGACAATGCAACTAGGACAATAAGGAGCAGGGTGGTGCTCCATCAAGTGACCATGGGTTAAGTGAGTATAGCCAATACGCAACCTCGCCAGAACTGTTTCCCATCGCCGGTTACGGTGGTAGGAGGACGGCCACGAGGAAACACAACACTTAAGAGTACGTAGTTTGTCACCAGTAACAGACGACCAAGAAGCCTGCCAACGGGTAAGGACGGAGGAATGGATAACCGGGTAAAAGTCGGAATATGGAATACCTTTATGAGAGATGGGACAAGAGCGGACAGCTTCCTTGGCGGCAGCATCCACAAGCTCATTTAAAGACACACCAACATGGCTGGGAACCCAACAAAACTCAACTGACTTAAATTTACTGTGAACAAGAAACAGTCAATGCTGGATCTCGACAACTACTGGATGAACCGAATTAAAGGACCCGAGAGCCATGTGGACACTACGAGAGTCAACAACTACAAAGGAAGACTGACAACGAGAAAGCAGGAGACAAAGAGCATAGAGAATAGCATAAAGCTCCGCTGTAAAGATGCTGGTCTCCGGAGGTAAGCGACACATATAAGTGCGATCAGGTAAAACAACAGAGTAGCCAACACCGACCGCAGACTTAGACCCATCAGTGAAGACAGAAACGGAGCGGGAGAAGAAAAGTGCTCAAGGAAATGGCGTTTTAGAACCATAGGAGGGGTAAAAGCTTTAGTGACGCGGGTCAAGGATGTACAAACCCGCGGAAGGGGGACTCTCCATGGGGGCAAAGAAGGAACAACACGAGGAGAAACATTAGAAATACGAACGGAAAGAGAATCCTGTAGGCGAGATAACCGGACAGAAAGAGGGAGGTGGTGAAGAGGAACAGGAACCATAGGAGGGGTAAAAGTTAAAGCACGACAGAGGCGAGAGGAAGGATGTTGTAAGGACCGCGCAAGATAGCGAAGACAGTAGCGATCACTGCGGTCCTGGAGAGACAGGAAGCCAGTGTCAACATACAAGCTAAGGACGGGAGTCGAACGAAAGGCACCAGAACTGAGGCGCAACCCAGTATGGTGCAAAGCATCAAGACAGCGAAGAGTAGAAGGAGAAGCAGACGAGTAAGCAGGGCAACCATAATCGAGCATAGACAGGACGAAAGAGGAATGTAAAGCAAGGAGAGTACGCCTATCTGCCCCCCAAGAAGTATGGGACAATACCCGAAGGAGGGTAAGGGCCTTAGAACACTCAACACGGAGGTAAGAGATATGGGGAGACCAAGATAAACGAGTGTCAAGGAATAACCCCAAAAGCTTCGCGGAATCTTTGTACTCAAGGGGTTGACCATAAAGTGACAAAGAGGGACGAAGAACGACCCGTTTCCGAGTAAAAGTCATGACACAAGTCTTAGAAGCAGAGAACTTGAAGCCATGATCGGTGGCCCAAGACGACATGGCATCAATCGCAAGTTGAAGCCGGCGCTGAAGGAGAGGCGAATCATCACCCTGATCGCAAAGGGTAAGATCATCGACATAGAGAGCGGAGAACACACCTGAAGGAAGAGAGGAAAGAAGACCATTGAGGGCAACCAGAAAAATAGTAGTGCTCAGAACACTACCCTGGGGCACACCTTCGTACTGCTGAAAAGAGGCAGAGAGAGCGGTACCGAGGCGCACCCGAAAGGAATGACGAGAGAGGAAGCTGCGGAGAAAGAGAGGGAGATGACCACGAAGGCCAAAAGAATGAAGCTGGGATAGAATATGATATCGCCAAGTGGTGTCGTAAGCCTTTTCCAGGTCAAAAAGGACGGCAACAACGGAGGTCCTCGCAGCAAAAGTAGTACGAATATAGACCTCCAAGTTCACCAGGACATCTGTTGTGCTGCGGCACTTGCGGAAGCCAAATTGAGAAGGGGAGAGGTGATGGTGTTCCTTCGGGACAGAACTCAAAGGAACAGAGGAGGGGGCAGTGGGCGTATCAGGGTCCAAGGCCCGGAAACGGTTGTGAGTCTGAGGAAGGTTGGAAGGATGAGGAGAGGAAGAGCGCAATACGCGAGCATAAGAGATATTAGCATAAGGCGGGAGCTGGCGAACCTGGCACCTCGCCTTAGGAAAAGATAAACGCTCCCGGTGCTTCAAGTTGAGGATGGCTGCCTCAAGCTTGTAATGGACACACGCACGAGAGAAGGTAGGACGGGCCTCACCGCAGTTGAGGCAACGAGCCCAGGGAGAAGTGCACTCCGACTTAGAGTGACCTTCGCCACCACACAAAGGACAGAGAGAGACAGTCACAGATCAGCAGAGGGCACCATGCCCAAGCCTCCAGCACTTGTTACAGAGCCTAGGAGAAGGAATGTACTCCTGAACAGAGTACCTGGCACCAACAAGAATGATAGAGGGTGGAAGGGTCCGACCATCAAAGGTAATCTTCACAATCCGAAGGGGTTGACGGCGACTACCACGAGGGGGACGAGTAAACGTGTCCACCTGGAGAAAAGAATGGCCCTGGGCAGCAAGGATATGTCGAATATCGTTGTGGCAGTCTAAGGTGAACGATATCAAAAGTACAGTATACGATTCACCAAGAATTCTTTTGAGGGACAAGCGACCGCGAGGGACAGTCGGAAAGCAAAACACACGCTCGTCCTGAAAGTCAGGACATTCAACAAGTATATGCACGACTGTAAGAGGGACAATACAATTTGGACAATAAGGAGCAGGGCGGCACTCCATTAAGTGACCGCGAGTTAAGTGTGTATGGCCAATCTGCAACCTCGCCAGAGCTGTTTCCCATCGCCGGTTACGGTGGTAGGAGGAAGGCCATGAGGACACACTACCCTTAAGAGTACGCAATTTGTTACCAGTAACAGTAGACCTACAATCTTGCCAACGGGTAAGGATGGAGGAATGAATAACTGGGTAAAAGTTGGAATAAAGAATACCTTTACGGGAGATAGGACAAGAGCGGACAGCGTCCCTAGCGGCAGTATCCCACGCTCATTTAAGGAAATACCAATATGGCTGGGAACCCAGCAAAACTCAACTGCCTTAAATTTACTAGAAATAAGAAACAGGTGGAGCATTGTAGATGTTCAATATATACATTGATTATTACACCAATAGAAATATTGCACTAATATCTTTTTCCCAAAACAGTTTTCAGTGTTTGAATTTTTCTACTAAATTTTTTTTCTAATTTATTGACTTTTAATTTTTTCTGCTTAACTAATGTTTTTACATATCTTTTACTCTTATCATTCTCCTTTTTTTTTTGCCATTCCCCCTCTTTCAGTTTGTAACTAATTAATTTTTAATTTTTTTGTCATTCACCCTTAAACAGCTTTAATTGCTATCTGCATTTTTTTTGTTTATCTTGCTAATTGCTAAGCATAAGAGGTAATGGCTATCTGCAAATTACCTTTTATGCGTGAATCGCCAAATGCAATTATTTTTACATTAATTTTTAATTTTATTTTTCCGTGCAAACAACATTTAATGGCTCAGCAAACCTGCTGAGCCATTTACTTTAGTTTGTCACTGCAAGTGCTCCCTTGCATTATTCTACCAACTTCTACATCATCATGCTCCTGATTAACATTCCTAACCAAACACTCTTTGTTTGGTTAGTCCTTCCACATTACATCAAGAAACATCCTTTTATAATTTAGTTTCAAGGTCAATATTAGTTTTTTTTACAAAAAGTTGGTCATACAATATGTAAATGACTGTACAGGTGTTAGATTAGTTTCAAGATGTAATATATCTGATTTTGAAATGTGATACATTTTCACTTTTTTTTCTACTTATTTTATATTATTGCCCTGCAGACATTACTCTTTTCAATGTTCTAGGAGCTTTATCAAGTGCATTTAACCTAATACAATCACAGACCATTAATACAATGCACCCCTGATATAACTCAACAATTTGTTCATGGGAAATGACAAGTTTATAAAAATGGGCTTTACAAACTGAATAACATTTGAGATAAATAAGGTTATGTTCCCAGTCAAACATATACATTTTAGACATACTATACGCTATTTCAAACTGTGTGAGGGGTGTGTGGAAGTGGAGGGCATTTTTTTTTCTTAAGGTATTTACCCATCAAAGACTACGAGAATGTGAGGTCTAGCTCTTTTATGCCCCGCCTTCTATCCTTGTTGTACCTGTTGAGCTATAATTTACAACACCACAGTAGTGATGGTGGTAGTATAGTGAACTAGAGTGGGAGCACAACACCACAGTAGCAAACTATTTTGACATTTAAATGCCTTGTCAAATCTAGCATTAAAAGTTGTGGATGGAGGTGGATTCCCAACTTCATTCAGTGAATTCCACTTGTTGACCACCCATACAGGCTATGTGAATTTCATTACATTTCGTAGACTCATTTGTATTTCTGGCTTCCACTTGTGTCCTCTCGTTCTACTTTCCCTCACTTTAAACCCCTGCACTGCACACACACACACACACAAAAAAATAAAAAAAAAAAATTGTCTGCATCCCTCCTGGCTGTGGAAGCCTAGTACTGCCAGAGTGGCAAGGCTGGCATGCAGCAGGAGCTCACAGCACAGCAGTGCAAATTGAGGCCACCGCACTACTTAATAATGAATAAAATAAGTAACTGCAATCATTTTGTCATGATAGTGTCATAGATGATCCCAACTGTAATAAATACTATGTATTAGATTCAATGTCGGTGAACACAATGCTAGTTATAATGTTCAAAGGAGGAGCCAGATGTTCACAGCACACAGCCAAAGTTTTGTGCATCTAAACATCATGCAACACGACCTATATTCCTTTAGAAAATGATCCTGTTGAAAATTATTCATATTCATGATTTAGACACAGGAATCTGATAACAACAGAATCTACTGGTGTTGTCTAGCATGTGGCTCTATACTGTGCTAATATTTCATTACCACACCTCACCAGAATTACTTAAGTGGTTCGTTAGGGTTTATAAAAATATAAATTGCTATTTACGAACAATGAATCTAGAGTAATAACAGCAAAAACTGTATGTTTTATTGTTTAAGAAATATAATATTAAGTGCACATTAGTGACAAATAAATCTGTGCATACATACATACCTACACTCTACATGTTCTGTTGTACAAATAATACAATTACTGCCCAAAACGCTTTGCGTAATAGTGGCTTTAGGCATTGTATGTACTAGCTCTATCTATTAACCCAACAAACTTTGTAAAATCTCTTTATGTATGTACCTTACCTAAATAAACATTTATTTATTTACTTATTTATAATATTAGTGACAGCCCAACCCAATGCATCATCGCATTTGAAAAACAAATATAACAAAAATACAAAGAAAACAAGATAAGTTCATTGCATGTACGTACTAACAACTACAGTAACTTGGTGCAAGATGTGTGGTGTGAGATAGGCTGGCTGGTTCATGGCTGCAAGATTATAACCCTCACCAGACCAGCTTAGTGATTTGTTATGGTGCATACAAATGTAGTTATATATATGTGTGTGTGTATATAGAGTAATAACAGCAAAAACACTGTTTTATTGTTCTAAGAATATAATATCAAGTCACTAATAAGCACACCATATTTTTCAGCATAAAGATGTTCCACACATTTAATTATATAAATTCCTCATATTACACACTAATGAATAACATTACTGCAAAAAACTAGATAATAAAACCATTCAGACACATTGAAATAATTATTTAAATGGTTTTTGCAGCCACTCCCGCCCCACTGAGCTACTAGGGCAAGCGCCACAGGGAGACTAATCATTCAGTGCCTACGAATTGTGAAACTTACCTACTCTATCACTGCTAGTCATATACTTTTTTTTGTTCCTGTGATCAGGGAACAAATTTTAACAATATTCAAAAAAACAAATGTTTAGGAATAATTTTTTTACGCACATCATAGGAACGTCTCATTGATTGGGTGCGTAGTACGTGAGTTAAAAGCAAATTGCAGGTAAAGAATAAAATCCAGAGATTGAAAATGGAGAACAGATTCACAGGGAATGAAAAGGAAATGTGTGAAACAATAAGGAAATTAACAGTTCCAAAATGTGTGTTCAAAATGAGGTTTTCAGAGAACCAGACAATACAGACTTCAGAGAACAACAGTCCCCAGTCGAAGTATATAGACGTGTCTCGAGATGAAGTGGAAAAATGTTCATGGAGTTAGTTAGAAATAAAGCAGTTGTTTGCTTTGCTTAATCCTTTAACCTGCCTGAAGGTTGAAGAACTCTGAGAAAGAGAGATATAAAGGGGGTTCTGGATAATAGACTGTCACCAGAGGACCACATAAAGGACACTGTGCAAGGAGCATATGATATGATATGCTTTCCAACTTCTGAATTGCATTTAAATGCATTGATAATGAAATATTAAAGAAATTTGTCAACATTCATGAAACCAAATTGGAATACGAAGCCGTTGTATGGTGCCCTTATCTCATGAAGTACATCAGTAAACTGGAAAAGGTGCAAATACATGCTATTATATGGTTTAGGGAACTGAAAAACAAGAGCTATGATGAGACACTAGAGGTGTTAAATATGCCAAAGAAAAAAAATAGGATATGATCACTACATGCAAAATAGTAACAGGAATCAACAAAATTGATAGACAAAGTCTTAAAACCTGCAACTTCAAGAACAAGTGGTCACATATATTCAAGATAAGGAAACAAAGGTGCTGAAAATATATTAGAAAGTTCTCCTTTCCAAACAGTGGTATATGGTTGGAACAAGTTAAAGGAAAAGGTTGTGGCTGTCAAAACAATCAGCAGTTTCAAAGTGTCATATGACAAAGTACTGGAAAGACGGGACACCATGATTGTAGCTCTCATCCTGTAACTACACTTAGGTAAATATTCTTGGATGCCCTCACCCACCTACACATCTCAACAAAGGAGGCTTGCAGCTGAGTGGATATCACTTGAGGGACATAGTTCTAATGGTCCAGGTTTGATTCCCAGCGGAGGCGGAAATAAATGGGCAGATTTTCATTTACCCTGATGCGCCTATTCGCCTAGCAGTAAATAGATACCTGGAAGTTATACAGCCGCTACGGATCGCTTCCTAAGAATGTGCGTGTGTGTTAGAGAAATATATGTAGTAAATGTAGTAAGAAAAATAGATTGGTGGTTAGAAAGGCATGGTCCAAGAGCTAATAGCTCGATTCCACAGACATAAATAGTAAATACAAATATACAAATCCCCTATACCCATGACTGATCCCTGAAGGTGGCCATTTTCAAAACTATCAACAGCCTTTCTTAGTATCAAACTTAAGCTTCACCCCTTGCTTTGGTGCTACTGTACTGAAAGTATTGGTTTGAATGACAAGTAATTTTCACACTAAGATATTTAACTTGTAAGAGCAGTTAAATCAACAAAGGATCAAATACTCTCCATGCTTCCTTCCACCCAGTCATTTATGCAGGCACATTAGAATAAGGAGGGAGACAAGTTGAGGAGGGCTCTTAGTCCATATGAACACAAGAATTCCTTGAATGTAAATTGAAGTGTGCACAATTTAAATTTTGTACCATTAACTGACAACTGCATATTGTGTCAAAAACTCACATTATATAAGGGCCCACTTTAGTATGACCTACATTTAAAAAAAAAATTATTACTAAAAGGAGTTTAGTAGTATTTTTACCTTTCACATGTGATACATTCACAATAGGAGTTGTTGTCTCCAAAGAAATCTTCTCCATAGAAGCATGTTATCTCTTCCCCTTCCTCAATATCTCTTAGAACCTTAACGCATGCTGTTCCACGTCCAGTTGCAGTGAACTGAGAACAAAACATGAATTTTGTTTACATGTTGATACATATAAAATTAAAATTATTGGGTAAGAATACTCTTTTTACATTCATCACCATCAGCATTTCACTATTCAAATTGATTACATACCAGAAGAAAATAAAACACGCAAGATGGATTCTGGCATGTAGTTTTCATCATCGATCTTTTCTGAAATGCCACGATGAGAAAAGTGTTCAGAAATATACAGAATAAAGTTACTTGCAGAGATACAATTTTTTGAAATGGACAAAAATGCCTGGCATTATCTAAAATTTTGAACACAACATTTTACTGTATATGTGGTTATAACCCAGATGAAAACTGGAAATAGGAGATCATTCAAACTTAAAATGTCAAGGGAGAAAATATATTTCCCTATACCTTGCTTTGCTTACTGTGGAAATTCCTCACTTAAGTTTCTGTCATAAGATTTGTTATCCCTTAGACAACAGTTATTGTCAATTGTTGATTCACAGGGTAATGTGGTTATCATATGAAGATTGAACAAATTATTCTCTGGGTTTTACATGTATGATGCAAATATTGATATAAAAGGTCTCTGGATGTAAATAAAGAAAAACAAGTGAACAACAATCAGTGAAACATCGGAGGATAAAACAGGAAGCGCCAGCAAAGTCGAGCACCAGGCATTGACAAGATCCAGACGCAGCCTCCACCCAGTGAAATGATAAAAATTCATTTATTTTTATTTATATTTTTGTGTTTTTCTTACATTCTGCATATAAATTAATAACTCTATAAAGAAAGACTTTCTTGAAATTTTTATATTTTTGTGCATAGGCGGGTATGACCATTTCTCCAAAGCCACTGTCTAAGGGTTAAGGACACTGGAGTTGGTTTACAAGTGCAGAGTAGTTAACAGATGGAAAGCACTAGGAAGTGATGTGGTGGAGGCAGACTCCATACATTGTTTCAAATGTACATATGATAGAGCCCAGTAGGCTCAGGAATCTGTACACCGGTTGATTGACTGTTGAGAGGCAGGACAAAAGAGCCAAAGCTCAACTCCCCCGCAAGCACAACCAGGTGAGTACAAGCTTGGTTTTTTCTGAAAATGTTTTTATTAAAAACTTGTTGGTCAATATGAATTGTATGATGATTAAGACTTTGGTCGCCCTGGCAGGTCACCCGCAGCGCAAAGCAAGGTAGGCCGCATGTTGCCTGTGAGTGCACATTTCAATGTTTATACTCATTACATTTGTCTCAACTCACTTTTTGTGCAACATCGTTCATATTGTTATCAAATTGTTCGCAATAGATATATGCATACAAGGTCAAATAAAAGAACATACCAATAAAATAAGATAAAGTACATCGTCATGAAAAAAACCAGCGATGAACGTAATGAAATGCCATTTTCTGGGTGTGCCCCGAAGGCTCCCTGGAGCTAAATGGACTGATATACACTATATTAGTCTAGCCCTTCAGTCAATGGAGTTTTGCCTGCCGGGGACTACGAGCCAGGAAGAGAGGCGCAGTGAACAATGGCATAAGGAAACCCCTTTGTATTTAGGAGTATTCTATGTCTGCCATCGACCGGGGCTAGACACCCAGAAAGGTAGACATTCCAAAACAAACCCCACTTGGTAGGAAATTGCAACCCAAGATCAAACAAAGAAACAGAACTACCCCAAAAGAAAACAAGGAAACAAGCAAATGACATCTACTGCAGCTGCACCACTTGTCCACGTAGCTCTGATCAACTTTCTGATTTCAATTTTCGTGCTGCGTCGTTCAATTTGATATCAAATCGTTTGCAACAGAATGCCCTAAAGGAATATTTGCATATAAGAACAAATATTAGAACAACGTTACCAATAGTATAAGATAAATTTCATTATCATGTGAACAACGCCTGCTTTTCTTCATTGTTTCCAGTCATTATTCATTCCTGACCGCAGAGTGGGGATGCCACGTGGGATATATAAAGCATGGGAAGATGTTGGCGTGCATTTTAAAACAAGTCCCACAGTATTCGGACAATAAATGGAATTTTTAGAAATTTTTAAATATTTGACGCCGTTTGCGCTATTGGGCCTACTCCGTATTTTGATTTTATGACGTCGACACCATCATCGGGCCGCTAAAATGTTAAATAATATTTTAACACTTTAATGCGCGCGGTACCCGTGAAAAAAAATGGCGCATTGTGCACGCGGCGTTTTTTTCTCTTGAGCGTAAACACCAAACAGTGTGTAATCTTTTCACTCTCCTGACACCAATTCTCGAGCTACGTATTTCATTTTGGTATCAATGTGTCGGCAATAAAATTCTCTACAAGATCATATGTATAAAATGTAACCAAAGCATTAGCTATTCCACCACGAAATAAATAAAAACGTAGATCACTCGCCGTACGCACAAACAGCAACAAAATGTTCATACTCTTTTGTTTGTTGTCAGCTCCACATTAGTCCTACAGCGTTAAATTTTATATCACTGAACTCGCAATAAAATTCTCTACACAGACATATGCATATAAATGTATAATCATGATCGCGGCCCACACAAGAGTGTGTGAAGTGGGTGATTACCCTCGTTGTGTCACCAACTCAATAGTCTCTCCTCTAAGTTACAATACAATGCCGTTTTCTCAAATAGGCCATGTGCCTATTAGAGAAAATGGAAATTTAATGGCAAACATTTTCATACAAACCCCAAGTCGATCAAATAAGAATTGGATTTTATGTTTTTTTTAGATCGCCAGGCTATTTACGACAGGGGGTTCCCTGTCGTAAATTTCCATGTCTGGTTCCATGTCTCAAACATGTGCTTGTTCCACTTTCGTGATATAAAGGACTATATATAGGGACCTAACACTTTATGCGGATCAGGACATAACCTGGAGTCCTGTTTGCCTAACCGCTTCCGCAATGTGGACCATCACATATCATGCAGAACCCGCATAAGCAAACCCGCCGGATATGTACGACGCGGTCCCCTTAAAGTGCTAATAAACTTTTCATTTTACATATAGAAACAATGCTTCTTTTCTAACAGAAATACAATAAAAATTTAAATTTAAAAAACTTTTGGCTGCATTTTGACCATCAATATGGACAAGGTAGAGAAAATGAAGCCCCAACAAATAGGGTTGAGCACAAATTTCCATCTATTATTCCATTGTTTTAATATCTTGATCATTCTAATTCAATCATTCTAACATTATTTTAGTACCCATGGTGTAGTAGCTAAAACGCTCGCCTGGAGTTTGGCAAGCACTGTCCTGGGGTTCGTATCCTGGCTGGGGAGGATTTACTGGGCACAAATCCTTAACTGTAGCCTCTGTTTAACCCAACAGTAAAATGGGTACCTGGTTGTTGAACGATTTTTCGCAGGGTCGTATTCCAGGGAACAAAGGAATGCTGCGCACACTAGTGGCTGTACAAAAATGTAACAACTCTTGTACATATAAGTAAATAAAATAAAACTTATCCATCTGTAGTTGGTTCTGAGAGTTCTTCTACTTCCTAAGACTCGCCTAGGGTCAGGCTTGTCTTGTGATATTATAACTTGATAATGAAAGGCTGTTGCTTGAAGTGGAATGCAGCTCCAAATATACATTACTGCCACCTTGTTGGTCCTACACTTCCTACAGCAACTAGTCCAATTGTCTCTTCACCTCACCTTGTGTTAATGTCTTTTCTCTTGTGGGGGAGGGGGGGAAGTTACCTACCAAATGAGATGCATCTTGGATTACGGATACCTTTAAGGCTGTGTGTAACCACCAACCTAGGAGCTTCAATGTATGTCATACATCTAATGCATCTCTCCCTATAGCATTGTCAGTTTCAAGAGGAATGCAAGTGGGAAAGGAACCCTCAAGTATCTTCTACTCATATTAGACTATCATCCCTAGGAAAAATGTGCTTGAACATTCTTGTATGCTTTGTTCAGTGTTAGATGCTTAGTCAAAGACAGGAAATACTGATATCTTTGTTAGGGAGGCTAAATATTATTTTTTGCACTTGTGTGTGTGTTGCAAAAAGTACAAACAAGGTGTTGCTGGTTCCATGTCTCAAACATGTGCTTGTTCCACTTTCGTGATATAAAGGACTATATATAGGGACCTAACACTTTATGCGGATCAGGACATAACCTGGAGTCCTGTTTGCCTAACCGCTTCCGCAATGTGGACATAAAATGATGTCCTGAAAAAAATATTTGTATAAAATTCAATTTTAATCCGATTTACTTTGGGTTTGTTTCAAACTGCGCGCCATGAGGTTCTCTTTCTCACCACTAGGCTGCATGGTACAATAAGTTCATGAAAGGTGTGGACCACTTTGATCAAATGGTATTACCATTTTACCAGGAAAACTCCCAAGTGGACCAAAAAGATAACGTTTATTTCCTGCAAATGGCATTGCATAATGCCTTTGTTTTGTACAAATACAACACAACTGATCAAAAAAAGCTAACATTGCTACAGTTCCACGATTGGCCTCAAACAGCAACAGTATCTCAACACTTGCGGCACGCTCCAGACATAAATGATGACACAGGTCCTGCCTATACTGACGCCATGCAAACTCCTGGACCATCTGGTGTGAGGTGGCCTTTGTTCACTTCAACACCTCAAGCTGAAGCAGCAACCGAATCAGAACCAGAGATGTCTGGCACACTGCCATTTGACGAGACGGTTTTGTCAGATGACTCTGACTCTGACTCAAATGTTGAACCTCCAGTGATTCAGTTGATTCTGAAAATCGCATGAACTACAAACTGAAACGAGTATTTTGATACCAGAATGAACACTGTATTACATAAACTGCCGTAAGTAGACTCGAATCTTCATAGATTTTTTTTTGGGTGTAGCATGTGTCTGCATGAGTGTCCCTAACGGGTTGCAGGTGGGTGACTTTAGCCGTTTATACTGGTAATGCTTCCCCCATATCATGTATTATATGCATATGTCTGTTTAGGAAATTTTATTCCGATCAATGTACAACCAAAAATAACTGTG